GACTGACTGACCGACTGATTGACGGACTGACTGGCTGAATACCTGACTGATTGACTGACTGACTTACCGGCGGATGGATGGATTGACGGACGGAATGATTGACTAAATGAACGAACAAAAGAAGGAACAACCGAGCGAGTGAATGATTTAGTTGCATTATGATTTTTTTTGCCGTAATTTGCATATTTTTGTATTTTTTCCCTTCATTTGCAGTGTATAAGAAGGCAGAAGCTATTTCCCGGGAGTACTCCAGTACTAGAGGGCCTGGCACGACTGCCCGACCATGGCAGCACCCTTTCTTTCTAAAACTTGGACCTATAATTAAAAAAAAGTTGGAGAAAGCTAACCATGAGAACGGATTCATGTAAGGACATAAGTTTACAGATGCTAGCCTTTGCAATAGACCAATTTCGATATATTAAGGGTGCATTCCTTTGGGGTGATCTGGATCAGGATCAGTGATCCAAGATCTTTCTGGATCATGGTGCATCAAAGGAACTGATGAATCCACTCTGGTCATGGATTCATCGGTTCCTTTGATGCATCATGGTCTAGACAGATCTTGACTCGCTGATCCTGATCCAGATCACCCCAAAGGATCGCACCCTAAAATTCAGCCTAAAACAATAGACCTCAGTACGAGGTTCTGGGGAATATAGCTGCAGAGTTTGTGGGGTTTGTTCCCCAGAGCCTCATACCGAGGTCTATTGTGTTAGGCTGAATTTTAATATCGAAATTGGTCTATTACGGGCTCCTTTCTCGTACAGCGGCTGGTAATCGAGCCTAACCACAAGACAGAAGTCTAAAATTCGAGCCTGAAAGAGTCTGTGTCAGTGAGTCTGTGTCCAGTGATGACGATGCTCTGCTGAGAGCCCTGCGTGTCTGTGATTGGCTGCTGCTAGCGCACGAATTTTCGCGCGAAGCAAATAACCAATCAGAGTCATGCCACAAATTTCTTAAGAGTTACGTCATCGATATGAATGTTTTAAGTTCAATCTCAAGATTCGTGTTTCTTTGGAGAAGATCAAACGCGCGAGGAAAGACTTTTTGTTTGTTCAGTTATGTTAATATTTCATTACTTTTGCTTTACAAGACGGAGGCATATTCCTGATGGTATATAATCTCTGCACAAATCTCGGTAATGGTAATCATTAATGAACAATGTCAAATATCTTCAAGAAAGATCCAGACGATTCTGGCTTTGCCCTTCTTCCGTGTATCCGAGTAGAATAGTTTTGTCGGACTAAGCCCAAAGCGTCTGGATTTTCTTTGAACATTCTTGACATTTTTGTTTCCTGTTACTTGGCGTTAAGATACGTGATCTAGTACGCGACAACCGATGCGTGATACATGAGCTAGTACGTGCAATTGATATTTTGTGTGCGAAAGGACCACTAACATAATTACTCAAGTTGTCTTGCTCTTGCTTTTTCAAGTTGTAGAAAAGTCGCCCTATTAATTATTTCTTTACAGAAAAGATAGCTTGGTAGTCTAACTTTTAAATGGCAACACTTTTTTAGTCTCTCTTTCTAATCTTGTAAACTAACTCGTGTTTTTTTTCCCTGTCCAGTTACTTCCATAAGATCCCTGCGGAACCCCCTGAGCTCGAACTTAAGGCTACCCATGGCCTAGCAAGTCCACAGGAATTTTCAATGCCGGCTCCTCACGCCATGTGGTCAGCGGATACTTACGCTGGATTTGATGCTTCAAAGGCTAACCCGCCTAAGGTAAAGTCAGGTTTACTGCAGCTGTAGTTAATAAAATTCTACTAATATCAATGTAATGCGGCAGTCTGGTTGGCTGAGCTATCGTACACTGTCAATCATTTGGTGTAGTGGCTGGAGGTCGTCTACAAAGTGGCGCCGTTGTCTCTTCAGTTTGCGAAGTTTCGGAGGAAAAGTTGTAAATGTTATTGGATAATTCAATTCCCTACAAGACTTAATGAAGGAAATTCACCGGAACACGGCTTAAAATTAAAATGTAAAAATAGTTGAATGAACTGACGAGCGTGCGAAAATGGCTGCAAAATGGAACATTTTCTCTTCGACCTCATCAGCCATCGCCTCGCCGAAATCACCATCTCTTAGTCTAATTGTTTATTAGCCTGCAAAGTTTACTTCTTCGCCAAATCTTTGGCCTCACTAACAGCAATTGTTTTTTTTTTCCTTGAATTTTCTTTTAATACCTCTTGTCAGTAGTTGAATGAGAAGTGCAAGGTGCTTCCCGTAATTTATGAACCGAATGCCTTTTTTTTCCGCCCATTTATATTACGACCTTACAGTTTAATCTAAGACTAGATGTAAAGCGAAAAATGTAGTAAACATGTGACTACAAAATAGCCCTGAAATCGGGTGTAACAGAGAACTGGTAAAGACCAAAGAGTGATTATTACTCCTTATCAACTGTTTCCACAGGCACCCCAGGCTGGTCCGTCAGGGGATGTGAAACCTGTGTCCGAGCCTGAAGATACCAGCCCTGTTAAACCGGCTAACAATTCATCTGGATGTGTTGTTTCGTAGACGTGGAGTTCTCGTGTTGTTATAGCGATACACAAACTTGATCTTGTTTCTCCAGTCAGTTAGATTGTTTTATGCAGTTACATACATAGTTTTGGCAGGCAGGGAGGAAGAAGTTTTTTTTTCCTTCAGTCATTTCATTCCTTAGTTTTCTGTAGAGAAAATCACGAATCTTAAACCATTTGATTTCAAGCGCGGCCAAGCACTGGCGAGATAGCAGCTGTATGTATTAATTAGTAATCAGTACACAGTTAAACAAATGTAATTTGGATCATTTGAAGTAATTTGGCCATACATAATTTTATTCCTCTGTCCATTTAACGTCGCACTGTTTTACCATCCGCTCTCCGACTACTCAAAAGTGTCAAGTTCGGATCTTTTTTTTTTTTTTTTTTTTTTTAACATAATCCATTCGTAGACACGGCTGCAATTGTAAAAAGTATGTATAGACTGTACTGTAGGGGTTTGGAGACAGTTAACGTGCGGTAAAGGAGAGCAAATGAAATTTTGGGAATATTATTCTCACACACAAAAATGATGATTCAATATGTGCCATCTTCTTTTTTAGAGATTTTAGTTAAGACGGGGTTGAAAGGATTTTATAAAGTACCCAACTGAAGGAATTTAGTTTCAAACCTTGATAACAGTACTTAGCCATCATTCACTAAAATTAATTTTTAAGCAATAGATCACTCTTTCTATGGGTTTACTGGCGCAATAAACCACGCGGGATGTTGGGAGAACACGAGAAAAGCTTGTAAATCACGAGCCGTTGGGCGAGTAATTTACAAGCTTTTCTCGTGTTCTCCCAACATCCCAAGTGGTTTATTGCGCCGGTAAACCCATAGAAAGAGTTGTCTATCGCTTTTACGAAATAACTATGGAAAAAGTCTGGTCATGTGAGGAAAATTTATTGTACCTTCGTGATCAAGTTGCTTATTCTCATCAAATTCATGAGATGACGCGACGAACCAATCACAGCGACTGAAAGAATGAAAACACAGACTCCGCGCCGGACACGAAATCCGCAGAGCAAAGCGACGAAAACATTTCACGCTTAGTTTAAGAAAGGAAAGGAATAGGTTATCGGTGAAAGGCAAAAAGCATATTAATTAACTCAAAAGTATTCTGACGAGGAAATGCAGTGGAATCGGTCATCACGAAAGTAAAAGGCTGTACAAAAAGTGTGCAAGTAGTCCAAACTTCATGTGCTTGGCGAAGCGATTCAACGTAGTGTTTAGCAATAACTTTCCAAAGTTTTGTGGATGGAATAAAGGTTAGTAACAGAAACGCTGCTTCCAAAATTTAGAATTTATTTACTTTTGCTGAAGGCTATGAAGTCCGAGTTTCTCTTTCCATTTTGCTAAATGAAAACTATTGCTTGAAAGCTAAGCTTATGGAAGCCAAATTCATTTATCGTATTATGCATGCATGCATGCATTGAGTTTAAACTCAAAATGTCGGATAGAAAGAAATTTTTTCCCTGCTCTTTTGACAAACCAAATTTGATCAGTTGAGCCCCGCTGACTTCGTCCTGCACAGACCGTGGAAAGCACCGAAATAAGTGTTTAAAACTTTCTTGATCTCAAGCGTAACCGGAGTCGGCGTAAAAGTTTTGCCGAGGAAAAAAATAAGAAGCTTTATATGACGACCAACTTCTGGGCCGGGTTGTTCAAAGCCCGATTAAGCTAACCCAGGATTAGCGAGAATTTTGATTTGAGTTTTGTAACTTTTCGGTGAGGTTTTATGTTTAT